AAAAAAAATACAATTTATATACATGGAGGAATTAGCTTACATCATCTCAAAACAACAACAAAAAAACCCAGAAAACAGTGCAAAAAAACAAATGGAAAGGTAAGTTGCTACCATTGGAATGATTCACAGTTAACAATTCAAAACTGCATATTATCACTGCACAGGAAACCACGAGGCAGGGAAGAGTGCCCCATATTACCACTAACCATCGTACTAATCCAGTTCTTGATTGCTATCCTTGTAGAGTTGCTCTAGGTAAAAGGTTACAGGCATCTGTGTTAGAAATAAGTTTATTGGTAAATTATGGAGGAGCCAGAGGCAGAATTGAAGCCGTTAGTTTGTTGTGAGAAAGGAGTTAAACGACCAGTTAAGTGCAAGAACAAGATTGATCCAATACACGACTCTTTGTATCAATCCTCAGATGCAAAATGCTGCGTCTTCAAACATCACACAAACTAGTAATTCCCTTTCTGAAAGCTACGTAACAAGTGATTGCACATGGAACATTTCCCTTTAAAGCAGTTCAGAGTCACCCCTCCTCACTGGTTAAATCTTACTCCTTGTGTGGCACATACAACTTCCTTTGCAACAATTGTCACTGCACATACCACACTCAACCCTTCCTTTGCAGAAAGGCTACAATATCCATTTCTCAAAGCAGAGATCTGCCCTTTCTTTTCTACTATGAAGGCAGGGAGGAAAGAACACCAAAAGAAAAGGCCTCCAGATGTCAGTGGAAAGGAACCAAGTGCTTATTACCAGCTTTGCTAAAAACACTTGCCATCACAGCTGTGCCATGCCCTGCATGAGGACTAACTGTACGCTGAACTTTGCCTTAGGAACCACCAGCAGGACCAAGTTCTCTCTCATTTGCAGGACAAGATGCATCCTCCGACTCATCCATCTCTGAAACAAACACAGCCTGATAATAAATCTGTTCCCCAGCTAGCTGGACTGAAAAAAAAAAGAAAAAAAGAAAAAAAAAAAAACACGTGAGCATCCAAAAACTTTATCACAGCAAAAGGTGACTCAAAGAGGCCTGCCAAGCGCATGGTAGGTGTCCTGGCCACAAAATCCCCTCCCAGTCTCAAGTGTAGTAGAGTTCAGCAGTCAGCAGCTTGCAGAGTATGGCCCTGGAACAAGCAGCTTCTTCAAAGTGAGTCGAAGAGGCTGATTTAACAGCTTTAGTGTCTTGATGCACATTAATGAAACTTCCCTATGCTTATCCAGGACAATCTTCAATACAGCTCCTGGATTTAGAAAATGCAATAATGCCTTTCTCCTGCCACAGATAACTCATTTAGCTTGACCCTTTATGGCAGGCAACAGGTTAACAGGAATGCTGAGGCTGTGGAGAAGCTATCCCTGGGATACATTCCCCATGTTACTTCGTCCAGTCTCTTGGCCGAGAGAATGATCTGTGCTTTATCAAGCCAATCAGTTCTGTATTCCCCCGGAGGCACAAGGCTGCCTTCCCACAGAGTTTATCTGCATGCAAAACTCACAAGGGCAGGTGCCCGCTGGAATAACACAGGTGCTTGCCAGGATGGTACCTGCTAAAGCACCAAGCTGGCTGCAACTGGCTTCTAAGTGCTAATATTGCCCTTATGGACATTTGGCTGCTGCAGTTAATAACATTATTTCAAGCATTTTCAGAGCCACAGACAACCCCACTTACCACCCTCAAAGTAGAGTCTTGCCTGTCAGTCGCCAGCACCAAGGATTTCTCCTATATAATAGTCTGAAGTGACACCAATATCATGACACGTAGACAAGGTAGCCAAGCCCAGACACAGGGTATCAGTTACAGATGCCTCCAGGAAGCAACCACTACCTCCCTATGCTCTGAGAAAATAGGGCTCCCTGGTCCACAGCCACAATTAGAAAGGTGTCCCTGGTTCTCACTGCTGGAACAGTACAAGGATCCTGTGTAAGAAACACTAAGAAATGCAGGAGTGCCAGGGTAGTGACAAAGAGGAGTGCCACAAAGTGTCTTAAGAGAGTCTTATGGGACATAATAGCAGCAATAGCTTACAGGAAAAAAAAAAAAAAAAGGATCTCTCTCTTCTGAGATGCTCTGCAAGCATATTAAAATTTATACACCCAAACAGGAATTGGAACAGAAAAATTTCGCATTCCTGACTTACTGAGGTGCTCTCAGAAGCCAGCTGCTATCAAGTCATAGAAGGGACTCTCTCCCCTAAAGGGAGGAGACAAACTGGAAACAAGACAGTGAAAAAATACGGGTAATGGAGCACTGGCAAGGAGAGATGAATATCCAAAGAGTTTTTTTTTTTTTAAATACAGTTTTCAAGAAAACATAGCCTGGAACTTCAAACTGCAGTATCTCCTCCCAGCTTGGCTTGGCAGCAATCTCTTTCTCACACAAATAAGGCAACAGTTGCAGGAACAAGGGAGGAAGAGGAAAAGGGAGACACAGAGATGGGCAGGGAGAAGATGCTGCAGTTCTCTGCACAGGATACAGTGGAACTATATGATCCTTTTTTCCAAATATCTCAAGTAGCCTAACCCCAAGCAAAGTAGTAGAACGTACAATGTCAGGACAACATCTGATGAAGGGAGATAGCTGGGGCACAGGAAGAGAAAAAAAAATGGATTAGGAGTGGTCAAACCAAGTGCTTGAGACCAGTCAACAGCTCTGGACTCAGGCAGCTCCTCTAATTCTCTGGCTAGCAAGATGTTTTCCAGTTCCCCAGGCTTGATATGCGTGTGAGAAGCCAAACGGCAAGTCTTGGGCCTTGTGGGGTCCAAGAAGAATGCGAGCGCGTGTACAGGCTTGGAAGAGGGAGGTAGCCAAATGGCACGTAGGGGCATCAAATGGTCTGATAGTGTTGTCGCAATCTTGCCTGCAGAAACTCGTGGGTCAGGTTGTGCCGAGTGATTATCCCAACAATCTTAAAGAGGAAGAAAAGAGGAAAAGAGATACAAGTCAGTATCACAGATGTGCCGCTAAGACACTCACGGTAAAGCTGTTCTTTCCAACAAGAGCAACAAATTAACAACACACCACACACAAGCAGGAACCGGAAAAGAGGTCTTACCCAAAACGGAGTCAGAATGAGCTCAAACTCAAATCTCACCAAAACAACCCCACCTCTCCCACAGCCTAGCAACAGGCAACGCACACTGCTTTAACTACACCAAAATGGGCAGCTTACTGGCTGGTGTTCTGTCCCTCCAATAAATCGTTTTTCTGCTATGAAGTCTTTTGCTAGAGAATGTATATATGCAATGAAACACTTTGGAAAACGCAAAGTATAATTTGAAATGATCGAACCGTGTTTTATGGCTTCATTATAGACTTATGTATCTGTTTTGTCATCTGATAGGACTGCAGACATTTCACATCAGATATAGAAGCTTTAAAGAGCAAAATGGAGAGATACTAGGAACTCGTTAAGTGCTGACCACACACTGGACATCACTGGCTGGCAGGTCACCAAAAGGCCCCCTTCCAGACTGCTTGGGGAACTCTCAACCAACATTTCAGTGATGAAACACCATAGTAATTTTACATAGTGGAAGAGCTAAAAACTAGGCTGCTCCCTAGTATCCAGTACTGCAGGAGCATCTTGTACTAAATTTGGAACCAGTCAACAGCTCTCATCTTCAGTACAGGCTCTGTGAGGTAGTTACTAGGAACCCTAACAGGTCAAAAAAGGCAAAAAACGCACACACCACCGAACAAGCACTCAAATGGTCTCATAGGACACATCAGTTATGGCTATTATTGTCAAAATTTGTTTTGCTGCTCAGGCTTAAAGGAAACATGGTTTGTCATTATATTTATAGGAAGTTACTGACACCTGCTGACTATTCCTGAGCATTGTAGAAGACAGATGACTAAAGTGAATCAAGCTCAAAGTACTCAAGAATTATTTTTTATTTTGCTGCTCCTACAAGTAAGGACAGATTGCAAGCTCCTGTCCACTAGAAAAACTGCCTGCTTCAACACACAGAAAATTCTGCACCTGGCCTTGAATAAAGCTGCCTAAAATGAAGCTAAATTAGTGGCCCCTGATGGGTTCACGGTCTCTGAATGGTTATAAGACAGAAAGAGCCTTCACTTGCTGCCAACCAGAGCAGAAGAGAGACAAGTCCTGCTCATTTTGGGAGGAAGGAGGATTCAACATAATCGATGGTAATGAAGTCACAGTAATCAATGACATTTCATGCCCTCAAGAACACATTTCAGGGCCACAAGAACACATGCTGATCCCATTGAAAGTTACCTGTTTCAGGCTAAAATGGATTTTAATTCTCCCAAAGGGCATTACAAACACATAGCTGCTTCCTTGCTCAACCAGGAGAGAAAGGAAACACAGACTCACCTCTCCCACTGCATTCACAACTGGTAAGTGCCTGAGTCCCATTGTCCTGAACAGGTTGAAGACTTGTGACACATGAGTGTTTGGAGACACAGCAAATGGTGATGGGTTCATGTATGGTGTGACATCCTATGCAAGAATAAGAATGGTATCATTTGTAAGATGTGTCTTCAGTACTTCTGTAACCTTCCTACTAAAAAGAGAATGACAATGCTGCACTGACAGAGCTAACAGCACATGGTTGGTAGCTCCACAGAGTCTGTAAGTTCCATCTCACTCAAGCGAGAGTCTAATTTTGAGGAAACTAAACTAGATAGGCAGAATCCCACTTCAAAACTAAAGCAGTTATGTGGGACATTATCTCATATCAGGTATGAGAAGTGATGTCCAGGCAGGGTTCCTGGGAGAATACACAAGCATTTAAAGGTTTGAGACAGTCTTAAACACATATCAGGAAACACTACCACATTGCAGTGCATCTCTTTACCACTATCATGCGAGGGTTCAGCAACGTGAGGTCCAGGTCATGGATATCTGGATAGCGGGGATAATCCTCTAACATCTCTGCATGGGACAGACGAGGCTGACTCGCACTCTGAAATTAAAACAAATCCTACTGAATGGATCTGTCATCTTCCCAAACAATACAGTTGGCTGCAAGCAGCACAGCAAACAATTCCTCCTACTCTCCTCGCTCATCCTGATCTCCTCTTCCTCCCATGCCCACACACACACACAACTTCTGGACCGGCACTTGCAGCAGCTCATCTCCTAATGCAGTGCAAGTCCAAAATTAACTAGTCATTTAGCTGAGGGAATGGTGGATCTGCTCTCCAATTCTTGCCAGATCTATACTAAACACCAGAGGGGAGTAACAGTCTTGTGTCAGACCTCAAACACAAATCCTCATACTGGTGTCAGTGCTACAGATACTCTCCTGGTAAGGATAAATCAGGAAGACTCACCGACTGGCTCTCGGAGTAACAAACTCCCCTGACAAGGAGCGTGACCAGCTGCGAGCGTAAGATCATGCCATGGAAGGTCAAAGGTCTGAAACGTTCCTCCATGGTCCACTCTTCACTGGGTGACTGGTCAGGATACAGGTTGGGATAGGGTGTATATCTGTGATAAATTTAACACTACACGTTATAGATCGCACAAACTTGAGGAAAGATCCCAAAAGAACAAACACAATAGCTGTATTAGTACTATGGCAGCAGGCCATTAGCTTCTTTTCTCTACAGGCTTTGCAGGCCCCTCAGACTGGCAGACAAGACAATACCACTTTCTATATACAGGGCATTTCCCCAGGCATTGCATCCCCTCCAGGAAATAGTTCTGGATGGGCATTTGTACGAAAGTTAACAGGCTGAACATCATCAGGCTTGGACTCAGTCACAGGTGTCCTGAGTACTGAGTTCTGAGACCTTTCTTGCAAAAAATGGGGACACTAGCACTGCTTCCTTTGACCTACAGGATAACAGGAGCTCTACAAAGCATCATGAGAAACACCATTTCCATATATTTGTCCCTCCTCAGATCTTACCTTCTCTCTAGCATCTGCTGCAACAGGTCCTCCTTTTCTGGTGGTTCCTCTGTTGCTATGTGCTCATCACACATGTTACGCAATTCACTAGAAGGGTAGGATTTCATGGACTGACTTCTCTTGCGCTGCTCTCCTGCTCGGGTAAGGATGCTAGATTTCTGGACACAACAAGCAATTTTCAGTACCCATTGAACAGGTCAACTATTATTACAGAGACTTAATTATTTGGTTTGTTTTATATCACCAGATAAGGTGTTTCTCAGTCACTGCTGTTACAGGTACTTCTGTTACAAGAAACAGTCTGTCACCAATGCATTCATTTTCCATTTGCCTGACCTTCATCCAGATTCTAAGTTTCCCAAAAGACTAAATCATTCTCTCTGTCCTACACAGAGGAATATTGAGGCATCTAATACTAGTCTCAAAAGGTGGGTTCAGTACTTTATCCAATCCTTTTTCCACTTCTGCCCTTGAGAGGTTACTTAGGGCCCTATTAAACTTTTGTTTCTGAGAGTATAACCCATTTATTTGTCTTTATATGTGAATGAAAGATCAGAATGAAACCATGTCCTCAAATATTTAGCATTCCAGTACCTGAATCCTGCACTGCCAAAAGCCTAGATAACATGGGAATGTGCTTTCTACCTGCCCAAAGCTCTTTACCCTTCCAATTATTGAACAAGCAGCTTCCTACCTTGAATTTGATGTTGTTGCTGATCAGCTGATTTCCCTTCATGAACTCCCTCTCATTGCCACGGTTCTCAGTCACTACAGGGAAGGCATGATGGACAGTGGTACGCAGGATGCTGACAAGGGACTGGATCCGGGTGTGGGGGTAGACATACGTCAGGTTGGGTTCCATTATGTCACTGGCTCGCAGCCTGTAGAAACAGACAAAACCAGAACTGCTGGATGCACATGTTCACTGACAGAAGGTTGGTGACAGAAAAGCAAGGAAACAAATTAGTCCCCAAAAGAGAGATCCTGAAGCAATCTGCTGTGGATTTCTTCTGCCAGGTCCTTGAACTGGTGTGCCCATTATTTCTGCTCTTCTAGTTCTAGCATTTACTTTTTAAATATAACATATCACTGATGCATTACAGGTAAGGACAAAGGTTCCAAATTAGGATAATATAACTATTGAGAAAGAAGGCAGGAGGAAAGACCATGAAAATCTGCAAGGAGCAAAGACCAGTGCAATAGCATTTTCACCAAGTTCTTGCTGAACCTCAAAGATCTTTTCCTCAGATTGCCATTTCCTCAAAAAGGGTTCTAGGACATCTGTCCTACTGCTAGCATCATGCACAGCATCCAACTCCTCTCACAGAAGTTGGTGCAGTCAAGTTCAGAGAGGAAAAAGCATCATCCTCCCACTACTTCATTATTCTCTGAGCCAGACCCTAGGACAAACTAACCCACAGCCCTGTCGAGAAGAGAAACCTTACTTATCCATTTCCACCTCTGTTTCCCACTCCAGAAGGGGCACTCCTCGCAGGTTCACGTGGATGTCGTAGATGCCTTTGTTGAAAAAGTCTCCTGTCCATTTGGCTACCTGCAAAGCAAACAGAAGATCTACTGAGTTGTTGCTCCACATGCAAGACTCCTTAGCTCATCGCTTGGGAGGTGAAGAGGATCAGGACTAGGCAGCTTTCAAGCAGACAGCAAGAAGCCTGAACTAAGACCATGCACTCACCATGAGGGTGATCATTATTGGGAGCCCATAGGTGATCTCGTTGGTGGATTCAATCAGGATGACCGTCAAGCTGATCGTCATGCGGACCACTCCTCCCAGGAATGCTGCTGCCCCGATCAGCGCAAACGTTCCTGAGTAGATGTGATCCAAGCCAATATAGCTGAGGTGGAACACAGAGCCCCAAGATTAGAATAACCTAACTGGGAGCAGAGTGTGCATATACAGCGCATCATTCACACACACACTCAGGGCACCTTTTGAGGAGGTTGGCGACCAGGCGTCCGAAGGCAGCCCCACAAAGCAGTGATGGCACAAAAAGACCACTGGGCACAGAGATCCCGTAGGTCCAGCACGAGAGTAAGAAATAAAGAAGGAAGAACAAGGAGAGTGTGACTGGGCTGAAAGTACCTGCAACACAAGAAGAATCATGACTAAAGGGGTAAAGGTGTGTTGGTTGAAGAGTACCAGCTTGGTCCATCCACCCCTCAGCTCACAGCAGACTTCTCACATCTACCTAATCTCATAGTACAAACACAAAAACACTAAAATGAAAGGAAAAAAAAGAGAGGAAGAACAGGCCTTACTTCACGGAGAGGTCCTTCATCTAGTACACTGTCAGATCCCCACAGCCATGAAGGCTTGAAGATGTTCTAGTCTTGTTACTCTTAGGACAGCATGGTTTCAAGCAAGAGGACACTATGAAGCCTAAGCATGGTATGGGCACTGACACCTAGCTACTCACCATCCTGGTGGAAGAGTTGCAGAATAGCTGACTCCTGTGGGTTGAAGAAGAGTGTTGCCATATCATTGTAGGTTTCGTTCGGGCAGAAAAAAGTTTTGATGCTTGAATTCACATCCTCTGACATACTCTAATGCAGAACACAAAGGACAAAGTTTTACTCCAGTTCCTACTAGCTTTTCCTCTGTGAAGAATGGGAGAAACTTCTGTGCAGGGCTTTCAGCACACACTTCGGGAAGTTTAATCTATAAATGAATAGAAGATATGGGGCCCACTGCACAAACGGGCTCCCCGGTTCATAGCTTGAGCTACTTTGCCAAAATAGGAAAGCACAAAAAGCAGCTTTCATCATCACCCTGAGCTCCCAACAGTGTATGAAGGATTTCGCTGAAGTTCTGGGGACGCCAGAGTGCCAGTGCCACTATGGCTGGTGGAAGACATCTGCCGGCATTCCCCCAGAACCATGGAGGCTACAAAGACCACCACTGTTGTAGTGAGGGCCACCAGCAGGCTCTCCAAGACTCTGCAAGCACACAGCAGAAGACATGCACTGAAGCCAAACTCAGACATTTCACCCTGTCCAAGCTGTGAAGAGGCTGCAGGAGGAAGTAGCCTAAACAGCCACTAGAATTTGTTTAACGTGTAAAACAAGAGACCCGAGGCAAACTTGAACTCGATTGCCAGGAATTGCACTGCCTCCACTTTTCACTGCTTGCCCCAAAGAGGGGTTATTTCTAGCCAGAGAGCAAACAGCAGTCGCATATAAAAAGCCACAGGGAAGGGTTCTGTGATGAGGCTATTCACATGGATGGAAATTATGTTCTGTGGATCCTTACAGGGTATATGTCTATCCTGTTGATGGTCATTATGTGTAGTCTCTATCCTCTTTCTTTGCTAGCAGGCAAAATAACACTTTTTTTCCCCACCCCAACAAGGCTTCTTATTTAGAAAGTTTTGTCTAGAGCAGACACACAACTATTTTCCATAAGCACATATAATCCTCTCTCTAAACAACACGGATAGAACCCAATTGTGGATTTAATTAAACAAGATAATTAATAAATGAATGGGACCAGCTGTTTCTTCCACATCTGTTTGGCCATGGCATAGAAAAAACTGTATGGAGATAAAGCTCTGGTTTGTTGAGCAATAGCTGTTGCTATAAAGAGCTCCTCTCAGCCTGTATAAGTGGATCCCAGCTCTCTTTATACCACCTGAATAACTACAGAAATGGAGAAGGACTTTAACATCTGCTTTCTGGTATTTCTATTCAAACTCTATGGATGTTTAATTTTGTGATTTCAATAAATCTCCTCAAACCCTTCTTACTGGGCTTTCTAGATCAATACCTTTGCTTTTGGACACTGAACAAAGACCAGATACCTCCAAAAACTCAAGGGAGCTCAAATACCTGACCAGCTTTGGCTTGGGATGCACGTTCCGCATACGATACTTTGCAAGCCTCTTGTTCAAGCAATTGAAGGTGGCTCCAAGAAGACCTCCTACAATTCCCATCAGAATGAAGAAGCCCAAATCCACAGCAGTCCAGAGGTGGCATTTTTTATCAGACTCAGAGCACTAAGGGCAGCAAAGCATAAAAAGGCCTCAGAATAGTTGCTGCGATTCCTTACCAATATTTCTGTCTCCAAAGCAGACTTTCATCAGCAGTGCCCAAAGCAAAAAAATCCTGTCTTATGCGCTAAAAATTGCAGCTAAATATGAACTATCTTCACTCAAATACAAATATGTATCTACAAAACCAGGAAGAAGCACCAAATCAAAGGGCAGCAAAGCATAAAAAGGCCTCAGGATAGTTGCTGCAATTCCTTACCAACACTTCTGTCTCCACAGCAGACTTTCATCAGCAGCGCCCAGAGCAGAAAAATCCTGTCTTATGCTCTAAACATTGCAGCTAAATATGAACTATCTTCATTCAAATACAAATATGTATCGAGGAACAAGCACCAAACCACTGAGATCAGAGGGGAAAACATAACATCACTAAAACTTACCTTAAATTCCCCAAAGTTCAGCAGCCCAGGGAGCTGGAAAGACCCCCAACTCCCAAACTGAATCCCAGAGCGGAAGAAATTCAAAGTGAAGGTGGCAGCCATGGAACAGAAGAGCTGAGGAAATAAAAAAGTAGGAATAAATGAACACTTCCAGACATAAGACTGAAACAGTCAGCTCTTGAGACTTACAGCTGGAAAGGGGAACCTCAGAGCCTTTGAGAGTTTTATGAAAATGGTCCTACTGAGAAACTACTAACACAGTTTCCTTGCTGCAAAGAAAAGATTGGAACTAGAATGGCCCATTGTAGACATGATCTGGCTTAATGAACAAGAATTCAGTGCATAGCTATTCTTGCACTGAAAGCTCATGATTTGTCACTGATACCAAATTGCACTTGAAAACTAATCACAAAGCTCTAGTATAGCTTGTTAAGAGTTAAAATTGCTGTCTTTGTTGGCTCAGAGAGTTGCAGGATATTTGGCATAAGGAATACAAACAGAATCATGAAATCCAGTATCTTTCAGAACACCATCAAGCCAGCAAATCAGGCATTGGAGGCAGAGAAATCACCATTAGCCATTACTCACCACCTTCCATGTAAGCCCCTGGTTCCAGAAAGAGGAGCCTTCTTCCAAGCTGAAAAGAGTCCCCCCAATTGGAGCCCCAAAGGCAGCTGCAACCCCTGCAGCAGCTCCAGCAGACACAAAGTCCCTTTTGTCTCTGAAAAGGAGGAGAAACCCATGTCAGTTTATCAAAGCAGAGCTCTGGAAGTGCTTGGGCTTTGCAAAGTAAGTAACCATTCCCATTTAATGACCCAGGAATACACAAGTGGCAGCTAGGAGGAGTGTTGGCCATGGTAGGCAACACCATTTACTGAGAAGTCATTGCAGTATTGTTCTGTTCTTCCAGAGCACCAATACAGAACAGAGTATTGAAACACTATGTGACTGCTCAGTACAAGGGAACAAATCCAAACCCTAGGTCTCCTGCATCACTTGAACGAGCTACACACTGAAGGGAAGGGCAAAAGTTTGTCCAGAGTCAGGTAAACTAATCTTCCCTGGAGTCTACCCTTGCCATAAGGGCTGCATAAACTAGTGCCCAAGAGTGGCACCATTGATCCCAACAGTGAAACCATTAACGCTTCAGACTGAAGGTTTTAAACATGGAGGATTTTTTGGGGCAGCACAAGAGAATAAAATGAACAAGAAGACCAGGGAGTCATTAAGGGCAACACCAAAGAGTCAAGTGAAATGCCCTGAAACTCATGCTGCAGCATGAGACTGCAGGCAGGACACCAAAGAAACTGGAAAAACAAGTGCCTTCCTTGTAGGAAAATCTACTTTTTCATTTTCCTCACCTCTCCTGCTGCATATCTTGGGTACAGTACCTGTCACTGCGAAAATAGGGAAAGTTAAACTGGATCTTCCTCAAAGAGATGCTCTGAAACTGCAAACAGAGTAAAGGCATCAGGAAAACAAACCAATAAAAAATAACAACTCTTGTCTACCAAAGCCCTTTTTTCCCACCATATTCCTGTGATCAAGTAAACCCGAGACAAAGCTCTTGAGACAAGAGACATTCCTGCCCAACACCACATTTCAGTCAGGAGTCAGAGAAGTGAAACAGGGCTTCCCCACCTCACCCAGTCTAGAGCCCAGGCCAGCACTCACCTGTGGCAAACCCGCGCCCACGACAGCACCACTGTGGATCATTGGACCCTCCTTCCCAACAAAGAGACCTGGAAAAACAGGATTTATGAGCACATTTTGCCTCTCTCTTGCTCCCCTCTCCCAGTCTCCATCAAGAGATTCGCCCACCACTCCCAAACCATGACAGGGACCCATAATTTTGAATGGGCATAACTTCGAATAGCCTCCTTAAGCTTGCTCTAGATAAAACATTCTGGAGGTCACATCTCAGGCCTCCTGCTCAGACACTTCTGACTATCTCACCTAGGAATGTACCCATTCCCCAGATAGTCCTGACTCTCCCATCTGTTTTCCACTCAGTGTGTGCATTCAGGGGTCGTGACTTGGCTCCAGTCCATCAAAGTCACTTCACTAGAAAGGTAGGAGAAGCCTCCTGTGCGCTACAGACAGCAGTGTCAGCACCTCCCAGTGTTAGTAACTCCCTATCCCAGCAAGATCAAGTCGCCACAGCCCTTCTTACCTCCTGCCACACTGAAGAGCACTCCTATAGCTTTGCACACCACTGTCCGGAGACGTACAACCCCTGGAACCTTTACTCCATTCAAGTAGCATTTAATCTCAGGGATTCCTGATCCAGCTGCCACAGGCTGCAGAGAAAACACTGACACTAAGTTGTACCAACATCATAACTGCCTGGCAACCCTTTGCCAGCAAGCACAGCAAGGGACCAAGAGACACTGCCTAGCTAAGCACTATAATTTACTAGTATTGTAAAGTCTGCTTGAGAACTCTGGGATGAGCACACTTTAGGCAGGCAAGCAAACCTCACAGGTCAGATCTGTGAGAGAGCAAAGCATGGCTGCTTAAGCAGAAGCAGTGGACCTCAGTCTTACCTGGATCAGGACCAGAAGACTGGCAAGAAAGACAAAGGTCAGGTTGAAACCCAGCAGCTCCAACAGCGACAGGGCCAGACACCCTTTCTCAGTGCATTCCTCCACGGCTGCAGGAAGGGTCAAGGAACACAACAGAGCTCCCCCGCACCAACACACAACCATCTGCTACTGTCTGGAGATCCCACTGGCCTCAGGAGCCAAGCCCGCATTTCCAACTAGGGCGTCTGACATGACCCATTCAAAAGCCAGATTTCATTTTCAGAGCTCCCAAGCGAATCACAAGCAAAGGAAAGACCTTGTTCCCTGTGCTCTAGGTGTCCCTGTTTGAGCAGAGGGGTTGGACTAGATGATCCCTAGAGGTCTGTTCCAACCACAACCATTCTGTGATTCTGTGTGAAAGCATTTATCACTTTCAAGGACTAGCCTTTTCCAAGATATTGATACTGGAACCATTTTTTTGTACATTTTTAAGTACAGAACTTAATTAACCTACAAGCCAATTGACAGCAGAAATCTCTAAAAGGGCCAACTTGCCCAAGCAAAAGCATGGTATTAAAAAGGAAGAGATCACTGGAGTCCAACAAGAAGTTAGACTCTATCTAAAGGATACAGCTTTGCACTATCTGGAACTTGAGCTGGGTAAAGAGCCGTACAAAGAAATCCACAAAGAGGCCTACCTGTGAAAAGACAACAAACCCATCATCGGAAATTAGTACATACAAGAAAGACAGACCAGTCGGTGTTCAGCAAGTCTTAGTAGATGTAGCCATATGTGGAAGGCAGAGAATGACACTATTTCTTTTCCTTTCTTCAAGGTAAAGTAAAATTGGAAGCTCAGATTTGCTGCTTCCCTTGCTTTCACTAGCACAGACACATCTCATAATTACTCCCAAAGTGATGCATTTCTGACTGTTAGTTGGGTAGTGCTGTTAAAAAACATAACATACTTCATAGTACAGAAGAAAGCTAGTCTTCAACTAGAAGCATACAGTGATCAGAAAGTAATTTTAAAACACTATAGCACATCCAGAGAAAATAATACTTAAAAATATTAAATTATAGATTAACTGTAAATTGACATCCTATTTTATTAAGTGTTCACTTTGCACAATTTTTCCTATATGTGGAATTAAAGTATATGCTAGAAAACTTTGAGAAAGAAAACACAGCAAGATCTGAAAGACAAAAGGGTTTCCCAGAAAGTAATCTAGCAAAAATGTGCTGCAATTACCCGGAAAAGACCTCTAGGTATTACCTACTAAGACCTCCACTTCATGAATATCATTTTCCCCCCTTTACTCCTTGGCCATTTGCTTTCAGTGATTCCTGCTTGATGCCCTAGAATTTCCTTATTCACATAGCATGATCCTTACCAGTCCAGTGCAGACTCCAATGGCAAAAACCATCACCCACTTCACTGCTTCATATCTCCGGGCTTTCTGTTTAGGAAAAGGAAAGCAAAAACAAAACAAAGTGAAAAATAGAAGCCAAGTCAAAACAATACGGAATTTTCACTCTAGATTAATTACAGCTAGAGTGATAAGCCAAAAGGAGACTGTGTCAACAATGAATTGAAAACAGGGAACTGAAGGCAGCAAGCACCTCACTTTAAATCTGAGATTCAGAATGCTGGGAGGTGCAATCTTGAAAACCATTTTTACCCTTTGCATAGAAAAATAGCAAACAAAATTTCTTTCATAAAGGAAAAAGAAAAGAAGCAACAAACAACAAAACCTTCAGATCGTAAAGAATATTTCCACAGCTCTACCTCTCAAGTTAGAGAAAAAGAGATCTTACTTTGTTGTCCATGCTCTCCAAAACTTCCAGATAGGGGTCATTAATGCAACGATCATAATCCAAGCTCTAGAAGAAGACCAAAAGGTAAAACAAAGGTAAAACAGGGTGAATCAGCTGTGACAGGCTATTGAAAAAACAAAACAAAACAAAAAAAAACAACCACCCACAACCTAAAGACAGAAGACCTTCTCAAGGATTACAACAGTAATTGCTGTCACCACAGCAGGTACATAAGCATGGCAAAAACTTCTAGGAACAGCTTTGCTTAAATATTTCAAATAGAGCCAGTCCCTGCAAACTTGGAAATGACAGAAAAGACCAAAATCCCTTATTCAAGCTGAGAAAAAAAAAACAAGTAAATGAAAGCATATGAGTAGCTAAATACAACTTTAGAGTCATAATGTACAGATTCGGACTTCATTTTTAAATACTTTCAGCTTAACAGTGCAGGATATAGTATGAGGTCTTTGTACCTACTATAACAGAAGTACTAGACAGCAACTCCTCTCCAAGCAAACAAGGCAGCGCATCCGTTCTTAACCATATCACAACGTGGTGATCAAAGCAACAGAGAGTTGCCTGTTTGCACTCACAAGTACCAGTAGCTTCTGTTTGCATCAGCTTCACCTTTCCAAGCAAGCACTGAGGCTGGGCTGGCAGCACCCACAGCAACAGCAATTACTCAAAGCAGCCCCTGGCTACCACACAGACATACTGATTCTTCCAGAAGCATCTTGACTTTTTTAAGTGATAGATGGGAAAATCTGTTTTAGCCAGCATCAGTAAGGCAGCCATGACCCACGAGCAACGGATGCTTTCTATAATCATGAGGAAGTGAGATTGTTACGTGAGATCTACAGGCTCTGGTAAAGGAGGAGGCTGTGCAGCAGGCTGAGAAGATGAACTTTCTTAACAGATGAACTTTCTTAACATCTGACTTGCGTACCAGATGTTCAAGCTCTACCTAGAACTTTTACTTAGAACCACTAAACAGAACAAGGAGCATCTCCTTGCAAGCTGAGCACCGGCTGCCAATGCACCATCAACTATGATGACGAAATTATAGCATTTGCCCCATTGCAAACTCAGACAGATCAACACCTGCCCACAGCACTTTCCACATTAATTTCACAAGCTCAGGATGTTTAATTTCCCACCTCATAGTCTTTGCGTGGAAGGATCTCATCTTCTTCTTCATGAGTTTCTCCTAGGATAGTCTTTAAAACAAAAGAAAAAACAACATGGGAATGGAAAAATCACTAGAAGCACAAATGCATCTACAGACACTTGCCCACTGAATCAGGGAAGGCCTATCTCATTGCTGATTACAAAATTAGAACACAGGTTTATAGAACATCCCTGCTTTTGGAGTAACTACATAAAATTATTTATCTAACAAGTTTTTTATGCTGCACGTACACTTGCATTCACTACGTTACACCTACAACAGAGCTCCCCAGACAGCAGCGAGGCAAGTACCAAACCCAGAGCTACTAGGAGCTTTCCTAGGAAAGAAAAGCTCCAGGAAAGCCGTAAAACAGAGGGCAGCGGGAAGGCGCCGTGCCCGAGGGCTCTGCCCACGGCTGCTGCACGCCGGGAAGGGCAGCAACCGGGCTGAGGCACCGGGCA